CTCAGGCCAGGTTTGCCTTGAGCTCTTTATGACCCAGGACTCTGGATAATGTGGATTTGCTTTCTTATTTAACTGGAAGATAACATTTATTGTAATTCGAGTCTCATTTTGAGGATAGTTCCTCAAACTAGTCAGACGAATTTCTCTTCCTTCTGTTTATTTTTTACATGTCAGACGTAAACTTCTGTGTGTTTGTACTTTTTAGAAAATAATAACTTCAGTGGATGAGGATTTTAAAATATTGACAATAAATTATTTTTGCCTCTGTATCGCAGACTTGACGTTTGCTTCGTAGGGGCCGGGTCTCCAGGGCCAGGATCTGGGCTGGCGTTTTCTCGCAGTAAATAGTGTTGCAAGTGATCTTTTTGTTTCCCTGAGGGCGGCTTCCCCTTCTGAATGAATACCACTGAACCCGACTGGGCTGGGTCCCCCTCTCTCTGTTCCTGTTCCAGGGGGAGCAGGGGGCAACTCTCCTCTCCACTTCTCCCCGGACCCTGCGGGCAGGACCAGGTGTCCGAAGTGCCCGGGGCTGGAAGGAAGGGTGGGTTCCTGTCTGCAGGCAGGACTGGGTTTCCTTCTGATCGTCCCTTTTATCTGGAAACCACCAAGATGCAAGCACCTGGGCTTGGGTTCTGACCACTTGAAAGCATGGAGAGGATTTTCTGTGGGTTTGTCTCTTCTGCCCAAATGGTATGGAAAGAACTGAACTTTGTGACTAAGAGCATTTTGAGGTCTTTGGGGGAAAATGGCACTTGCATATACACTGCTCTGCTATAGGAGATGAATTGACTGGCCACCACACATCTTCATGATGAGCAGAGCACTGGGGCAGAATAAAGTATCAACAAATGCCTGTGAAATCACCCAAAAGATTTGAGAGGAAAAACTGGTCTTTTCTGGCAGTCACATAGGTATAGGCAGAAAGGATACAGCCAGATCAGTGGAAGCCATGCCTCCTCCCGTCCCCAACAAGAATTCTAGACACATGTCCAATTCTTTCTGCCTCTCAATTTAACTTAGTTCTGTAGATTTTTTAATGATGTGTTTTGCAGAAGGCTACAGGAGATACCAGAGAAGAAGAGGACGATGATAAGGAAAAAGGTGCTAGTCTTATTAGGAAGTCAGACTTTGCACACATGAAACAGGAAACAGCAGGATAAAATAGGCAAGTGTTAACGATAAATACAAACTGTTGCGTTGTGGGTGGTCAGAGAAAAGGGTGATCAGTATGGTTTAATCGGAGAAGGCTTTGCCTAGGAAGTAGGACTCAAGCTGAACCCTCAAGCAGCGGTGGGACTTGAATAAACAGATTCATCTTCCTTTGTACGTGTCTAGGGCTTATTCGGATGAGGTGCACGTTGTCTCCTTTCCCTTTTAGATGTGGACTCTGGGTGTGGACCCCTGCCTTACTTAGAGTAGTGCTTAGAGGAATGGGAGAAATCTCTATAAGTCTTCCCTTCTCTGCTCCCATTACTGTTTCATTGTTTGGAAATAAGCTAGCCCACACTTTGACTGCATTGCTGCAGTAGTATTCCTTAATCTATCCTTTATAATTTGAGCTCATTATACTCTTAGCATCAGAAGGCGACCCCCTCATCTTACAGTTAGGAAATCAAGGTCTGGAGAGGTGAAA